TTTATGTTATGAATAAGATTACTTTTTCTTATGCTTCAAACTCTTCTTCATTTATTTAAATGTTGCCCATTTTTAAAATTTGGTTATTTATGTTTTACCTAATAATATAAAAGATCTAATTTCTTTGTGTAATCAATCGTTTGCTGTAATAGGACTTATAAATGAATAATGCCCATTTATCAGTTGTGTTTTAACCTTATTTTGCTTTTATTCTTGAAATAACTTTTTGTTTAGTGTAATAACATTTTAAAATCCTGTATCTTTAGCAGAAAGCCATTTTCATGTCTGAGATTATTTTTAATTCTATAAATTCTTCTACTTTGTAGTTTCTTTATTTTTTCAATTAAGTGTTCAATTTACCAGGAATGCATTCTGAGATGAGATGAAAGAATGATATAAACTTTATTTATGATATCTACCACCTTTCTGATTCAATTAAAATGTCTTTTCACCACTGATTTAAATAACATTTAATATACAAATTTCCTGACCTATTGAACGTATTTATTAATTTCCCAGCCTGTTCTATTTATCTGTTTCTGTGTGCCACTGTTACATTACTTTTAATTATTCATGTATTTCAGTTGTTAATTGCTGGCATAAATTAGTTATATGTTTATGTTACATTAAGCAAAATTTAATTGGTTTTCACCATGTATTGGCTCTCTTTATTTTCTCTCAGCATAGGCAGTCTCTGTATCCCATCTTCAGGAAAGGGTTTTATAATCCTGCTTTGCTGCTTTCTGGTTTAGTTTCTACCACATTGGGAACTTTTGAGAACTTTTGAGACAATTATATTTTTTCATATATTATTTCCAGTTGGATCTTATTTTTTTTGTAATTCTTCTTTTTTAATTGTATAAAATATATACAGCACAAAAAATTTCCATTTTAAACATACAATTCGAAGGCATCAGTTGCATAGCCCTGTATAAGCCTCAGCACTATTTTCTTTTTTTTTTTTCATTTTTCTTTTATTATTCATATGTGCATACAAGGATTGGTTCATTTCTCCCCACTGCCCCCACCCCCTCCCTTACCACCCACTCCGCCCCCTCCCTCTCCCCCCCCAATACCCAGCAGAAACTATTTTGCCCTTATTTCTAATTTTGTTGTAGAGAGAGTATAAGCAATAATAGGAAGGAACAAGAGTTTTTGCTGGTTGAGATAAGGATAACTATACAGGGCATTGACTCACATTGATTTCCTGTGCGTGGGTGTTACCTTCTAGGTTAATTCTTTTTGATCTTACCTTTTCTCTAGTACCTGTTCCCCTTTTCCTATTGGCCTCAGTTGCTTTAAGGTATCTGCTTTAGTTTCTCTGCGTTAAGGGCAACAAATGCTAGCTAGTTTTTTAGGTGTCTTACCTATCCTCATCCCTCCCTTGTGTGCTCTCGCTTTTATCATGTGCTCATAGTCCAATCCCCTTGTTGTGTTTGCCCTTGATCTAATGTCCACATATGAGGGTAGTTGGATCTTATTTATGTAACTGTTCCTGTCTTATGTTTCAAAACCCTTCCTTATGTCCTAACCTGTCAGTTCTAATAAATTAGGGTTTTTTCCCAGTATTAGTTAGCCTTGTCCTTTTTTTACTTTTGACAATGATGGTTGCATTTCTTAAAGTTTTCTATTGATATCTTGGCTAGAGGTGTACTTGGAGGAGTAAAACATGAACCTGTTTTATTTTTAGTTACTCCAGGTATATTGAGTTGTGTCAAAAGGACACCTTATGACAGAATCAGTCTGTACTCAACCCTATACTCTTGTTCACCCTGTAAGACAGTGCTCATACCAGAATCTCCATCACTGCTTTATCTTCTAAGTCAGTAAAAGGATATGCATATGCAGTGCAGAGGGTAGAATATGCAGGCCTGATAGTTACTACAGGCTCCACTCCACTCCTCTCAAACTCCACTCTCCACATTTTACCACTACTTCTCATGGCAGATGGCTGGAAGAGAGAACAGTCCAGACTAGCAAAATGAGAATGAGAAGTGGTACATCTAGAAAGTTCTTCCCAAGCCAAATCCTCATTATCAGTCCTTGGAGTTTCCCTCTATATCTCTATGAGTGTACGAGTGCACACTCAAAACGCCTCAGGATCCACTTTGGTTTTTTTAAGGTCACATAGTATAGCTACCAACCAGTGGAGTAATAAGTTTTTTGGGGTTTTTTGTTTTTTTTATTGTTTTATTATTCATATGTGCATACACATATGCCCCCACCCCCTCCCTTACCACCCATTCCGCCCCCTCCCTCTCCCCCCACCCCCTCAATACCCGGCAGAAACTATTTTGCCCTTATCTCTAATTTTGTTGAAGAGAGAGTATAGTAAGTTCTTTGAAACAAGAGACCTAAATGAAAATATATCATCTCATATCCAAGCATTCATTGAGCACACAGAATAATTTAGATATTTTCTAATGCAACTCACAGTAGACATTTAACAATATCCAGTATTTTTCATAGAGGCATAACAAGTCTAAGATCACTTTTAGCCACTGTTTTCTTAAACAGGATCAAAAACAGAATGTTGGGATGGGATACAAGGAGATTACTTACAAGCAGTGTTTGTAGTGGAGCTGTTTCTAAAATCATGCTGTGGTCTTCCTCAAGGCCTAGTAATTTTCTTACAGCAACTTCCATTTACCAGCATTAATTTCAGCATGAACATAAAGGTGAAATTCGTGCACCTTTATGTTGAATTCCTTATTATCCAAGCTTAATAGTGAGAAATACGTAAGAAATCAAGTCTGGAGCTTAGTCTTTACTGAAACTTAGTGATTCCTGAATCTGTATTCTGTAAATTATTTTTATCTGTATTTTGTATTTAACAAAAGAGTGCTGATGTAAAATTACAAATGCTAACTGAAAGTAGAGAAAACTCAAGAGAGGTGATGCTTTACTACATGGACTTTTATGTGCTCAAAATATCTGTTTATAACTCCTATGTATTAGGAGTATCATAATTTCTAGTGATTTAGAGAAAAGCATTAACTTAGTTTCTTATTTTTTTGAATCTGTTCTACTTCTACCATTTAAGCTTTAGAAAATCTGGTTTCATCCTGCACATCCTTTACTGTTTCAAAGTTAACTCAAATTCCATCATGTAGATCATCAACCAAAACTCTAACAGAGATAATTTGGCCATCCACAAGAGGTATAAACAAGATAATTGAAATGTGATAAAAGATAATTGAAAAATGAATTTTTAGCAATGTGGAATTTGGCTTCTATAATAGGAAGAAACATGATTCACAGTGCCACTGTTTATGTTGTATGTATTGGAAAGACAGGCTCTGAAGCCTCTCACATTTAAAAAGGGAAAAGAACACTAGACACAATAGTCTAAAAGAATATTTCTCTTCCATATCAATGTGCTAATTTATCTAATATGCTGAAACACAGAGGCTTTCTGTTCCAAAATCACAGTTAAAATTTCAATATTAAAACTTTGATGGGATAACTGAAATAAATGTAGATACATATTAAGTGTAGTGAGTAAAATTTACATTGCTTGGGAGTAGTCCCCCAACAAGCCTCCAAACAAGAATGGAATCCAGAGTGTACTCATGTCTGGAGTTACTTTCTCTCTGAGCACTGAAATGGGAAAAACAAAAGTGAATATCTGAGTAAATTCATATGGCATTGTGGGAGAAAATTGGGATTATTGATCCAGAAGTTAAAAACAAATGCTTTTAAAGTTGCAAACATGAAAGAAGGACTAGCTATGCTCAGTAGTTAGAGGATGAGGATTATCCATTTTAGTACCTTAATCTGCCAAAATTCCAGGATTTCTCTATACACAAGTGAGACTGACAATAGCCTTGTGAATATTGGTTAAGAAGAGACTTCATGATTTTCAGAAAAAGAAGATGAGACTTTGCCATACTGAAACACAATGATTATAGACCAGTTGGTTTCATCCTACATATCCTTTACTATTTCAAAGTTAACTCTGAAATCCCATAATTCAATGAAAAATTCTAATCACATAAATCTGAAGGCTCTTTTGGTTTCCTCTGGAAAATAATCTCTGGATTATTAACTTAATATTGAAGTATAAGACATTTACATCCTTCTGACTTATATTGTGAAAAGAGTGCTTTATAGTAATTTATCAAAAAAAGTAAGTTTCTATTAAGTATATTTTTTGTAGACATCATGAAGGCATTTTAAAGTGCCTTCTCTGCTCTTATGAATAAAAAATTTTTGCATTATAGCACCTAATTTAATTACTATATGTTAAATGTCAAAAAAGAGTACCCTATTTAAATATTAGAAGAATATTAAATTTTTTATTGGATGTCTATTATTCCTGCTGCAAACTATTGTAAATTGATTTGGCATGCATGGAGGGAAAATAAGAGAAAAATGCCAATTATAAAGTCTCCATATGAATAAATGAAAAAAAAGCAAGCCTTTGACAAGAAACCAAGGCCTCCTCTCTTGGGATGACTGATGCAACACATGGCAAATATAACAGTATGACAAGTCAAAAACCAAATACACTTTTTTTTGTTCTGTCATCATTATTGTCTTTTCCTTTTCTCATTCCAGCACTCAAAGATTTTAGTGAAATACGCTTCATTTTTAATGGAGATTCCTTAACACCTATATCAATTGAGGAACATTAACAGCTGCACTGACAGAACTTCATCATAAAGACACTGATGTTATTGTGAAAGGAAAATGCCCCAGGCTTTTACTTTACTAAGACACACCTGCATATGGTGAACAAACAAAAAATGCTTCCTGTACTAATATTTGGGGAACACATTGGACTTTTCAAAGCCTGTTCACCAGTATTGCTTTATCCAAAATAAGAATAGTTAGACTTAATGTGTGCTCATTTTATATATCTACATGAAAAAAAAACAACATAATGATTAGCTTTTCAAATTGTCTTAAATCTATACTGATAAATAAAAATGCTCCATTCCCCAAACCGATATCCTAAAAGCAATGAGATTATCACTGATTATACTTTGTCTCTTCAGATAAATTTGCAAAGAAAAATGAGAGTTACTGGCGTGATTACTCAAGGAGCCAAGAGGATTGGGAGCCCAGAGTATATAAAATCCTACAAAATTGCCTACAGTAATGATGGGAAGACTTGGGCAATGTACAAAGTGAAAGGCACCAGTGAAGATATGGTAAGAATAACTTACTTAATTTAAAAGTATTGTTCTGTTGAAGGTCATTGGTTGTCATTTGACTGAGCCTTCAGAGGAAGCATTATGTGGAAAACACATTCCAGAAAATTTGGGGTTTCAATTGAGTAGTGGTATGAAGGTAGTAGGACTTTCTCCATCTTATAAATTTGCAGTAGCTGCCATTTAAGATTTTCTGATTTTAATTGGTGGTCCTACAAATACTTGGTCAAAAAGTCAATGGAGTCTTATGTATGAAAAATGAGCTTTATTTTAACAACAGTCAGTTTTAAATTTCAGTTTTATTGCTTTTACCAATTAGCACTTTCCTTAAAAAATTAACTACTAATCAGAACTAGTCTCTTTAAAATAAGAAATGCAACATGTGAAAACAAAATGTATATCTGATATACTTCCTACAGTAAAATGTATTTGTTATTTAGCAGAATAAAATGGAAGAAATGGATATAATAGGATAATAGGTAATGTCTCCTTTTCCTTTTCTTATGACAGTCACATTTTTAAATTATTCCTCAAAACCTTTAATTTTAAAAATATCAGAACAACAAAAACATTTCATTTAAAACTAATTATTAGGCCAAAAATCTAAGAAATTTTATGAAATGTTTTTAAGATGGCCTTCTTAAGTGAATTTAAATAAAATTTTTCTGTTTATTTAGCCTATCTAAAAGATAAAATAAGAATAGGTTTAATGGAATTAAAGATAATACAATTTACTACTTTATTTTTAGAAGGAAACAGTTTTCTCCTTCTCCCAGAGAATACATAATAAGAACTATAAGTCTCTTAGTCATTGACCTAGAATGATTAATAAAGGTCTAATCTTCATCAGATAGCTGCTAAGGCAACATAAGTCTACCATACGATTAGAAAGACTGAGTGATCAAGAAGCACTAGTGAAGACTGGATTTTACCAAAAATGAAGTTACACATTAAGTTACAACATGAACAGACAGTTAGATGAAGTTGAAGGGATTAACTTAAAGAAAAAAAGTAAGTACCTCTCTGGCTGTGAAAGGCTAGCATTAAAATACATAAAATCATCATAGGGAAGTACAGACTAAGGCATAGGTCACAGTGGTTTATAGCTGTAGTTAGGATTTTATCTATGAGTTTTGTATTCATGGCCTGATGGCAAGGTGCTTCCTAAATGTTCTAGGCCTTCAAATTATTCATTATACTCTTTAACAACTATGTTGTGTATGGTGTAGGGCCAATGCATGAAAATAAGTAAAGAAGCTATTGCAATTAATAACTTTAAATGCTGCATTATGTCTTTACACAGGTGTTCCGTGGAAATGTTGATAACAACACCCCCTATGCAAACTCTTTCACACCCCCTATCAAAGGTCAGTATGTGAGATTATATCCTCAAGTTTGCCGAAGGCACTGCACGTTAAGGATGGAACTTCTTGGCTGTGAACTATCAGGTAAATTTCATATTATATGTTTCTGTACTGCATTTTAAGAAAATAAGAAGCATGTTTGTATGTTGTCTGTTAATATGAAGATTTTCAACACCAACAGAATTCATTTGTGCTACAAACTAAGGCATGGTTCAGTAGAAACAGCATATTGTTTTGTATATGTAGGACCCGTGCAAAAGAATAGAATTAATGCAAAAGAGCAATGTATTTTGTTGAATGGTCAAAGAAAGTACTAGGCATTATCATGGGAAATGTGTCAAATGTGAATGTCTCTCATTGTTTTTGGTAATAACTATGACTTATGTTTTATAATGAACATTCAGTAAAACTGGAATCTACCTGACTGCGTAAATTTCATAGTTTCAGGCTATATGGTACAGAAAAGTAAGGTTCATCTTTAAATTTGGTGCTTTTTTAAAGAATTTATGAAACATGTAAATTTATCATTTCTCCCTAGGGAACAATATTTCAATACCAAGATTGCTACTCTAAATTCATTCTTAGAGCATTCTTAGCTAGCAACCTGCTTTTTGTACAAATAGTGATTATCCAGCTCAAGAATAAGCTGTCAAAGGACTCAGAGTTAAATAATTTTTGTCCTCCAGGAGCATCAATACCAGATATAAAGATGCATATTTAATGTGCAGATCTCACTGTGGTGCCATTTTATTATAGCTAGATTCTGAACTAAATAGGGAATCTTTTCTAAATATTCCACTGTGCTATATTTCTAGTGATTGTTGCTATTTTTCTGGCATTAAAAACTGTTCATCAGGAATTGGTACTAAGGGAGTGGGGAGAATATAAGGAAAGGATTAGAAGGATAGAATATGGTGTAAATGTTATGTACTCCTGTATGCAAAAGGAAAAATGGAACCTGTTGAAAGAATGGGTAGAGGGAATAAAACAGAATGGTAGAGGGGGTGAACTTAGTTAAGATAAATCATAAGAACTTTTGTAAATGTCATAATGTACCCCCAGTACAACAAGAAGATGATAATAAAAACATTTAAAATAAATAAATAAAATCACTTAACACAATGAAATAAGTAGAATCTGCTTGACCTCATAAATTTTATAAGTTGAGGTTGTATGGCACAGAAAAATAAACTTTATCTTTAAATGTGTTCCGTTTTTTAGCTCTTCTTGAAACATGTAAGTTTATCATTCCTCCTTAGGGAATAATACTTCAGTACCTTGAGGCTTTTATTCATAGGTAAAAGTGCATACTTTATATTTATTTCTCTTCTTATATTTATTTTTTATGTCTAGAAATAGAATGATTTTTAAGCAAATAAATCTTAGTATTGAAAATTACAAATTTTTAATAAGTCCAGCACGTTTAAAGAAATTAGAGTGGTTTGGCCAGATGAGTGAACCAATCTATTTTAAGAATCACATTTTGGTCATGTGCAGTGGCTCAAGCCTGTAATCTACTCTAGAGAGGAGATTGAAAAGATCGAGGTTCAAAGCCAGCCTGGGCAAAAAGTTCATGAGACCCCATGTCAGTGCATGGCTGGGAGTGATGGTTTACACCTGTCATCCCAGTTACGTAGGAAACTACAAACAGGAGGATTGGTAGAGACAGCCTAGGGCATAAAGTGAGACCCTATCTCAAAAATGACCAATGCAGTAAAGAGCCAGTGGAGTGGCTAGAGTGGCATACTGTTTGCCTAGCAAGTGTGAGGCTCTGAGTTCATCCCCAGTACCACCAAAAAAAACAAAGAATCCCATTTTAATATTCCATATTGTCTTTTAGGAAGCAACCAACATACAGTTTTATTGCCATTAATTATCTTAACAGAGATCTTTTCCTTATTTTGGTCATTTAAGCTAGCTTACAGTCAGTAAATCTTGGCAGAATTGTTGCTGTACAGTGTTTGTACTGCATGTCACTATATCACCACAGGCCAGTGTCATCCTTAAGCTATTCATCATAAAGCAATCAAGAGGAAGCCACAGTGTGATTAGATCTGCTCTAAGCCTGGTAGTTTTTAGTTGCTTAACATCACCTTCCCCAATTTTTCAGTCTTTTGATTCATGAGACTCAGTATCTCATACATGACACAGCTACATCCCTACAGTGTAAATATATTTCACTGTCAAGTTTGACAAGAGGTTATACCAGACTCTTTACAGATTTTTATTTTCTCACAAAAAAAGCAGTGCTCTATTTCCCAACCCCACAAATTGATTTTGAGCTTGCATGCAGAAAATACTATCTTTGAGTGGTTGTTTTTAAAGGCTAGAGCACTTCACTACAAAAATAATCAATTTCCGCATTAATATTTCATTTCGTTCAGGTTCTGTCCACACTGATAAAAGAGTTAATTAATTTATATGCATGAAATCATGTAAAAAAGAAGGGAAATTTGTGAGGTGTATCATATTGACAGAAAAATTAGCTATAACACTTGGAAATAAACACTGACCCTAATATTCCAAACTATTTCCTACAGTTGAGTGCAACACTGTAAACCCCAAGGCTGCCTTGTTGTTTTCAACAAACTGTCTTAAAATCTTTTCACCTGCTTAGAAGATCATCAGTTTCCTACCAAACAATTAAAGAGAACGTCTTTTAAGTTGTCTACAAGAGATATGACTTACAATGTTGAGAATTAAATAGTTGATAATCATGATTAGAGGAATAAAACTCAACCTCTCATTCTTTGAACAAATAATTACTTATTTTTCTTGTTGACTAAATACTAAAAATCAGGGTTGGTGTAAAATGAATTTTATTAATAAGCATAAATTGTCAAAGGCCTTTCTTTTCTACCCAGTCCTTCAAATATCACATTACAAAGAAAAGAAAAATAACTACAGTTTCCCTTATATCTTTTCTGCAAAGTAAGCAATTTCACAACTACTTAGTGAAGAGCAGCAGGTGAGTAGAGGACAATGCAGACAATGCATGTTACCTTGGAGTTGCCTGACAATAAATGGCATGCCATTATGCCTTCTAGAATTTTCTAGAATCCTGGAGATTGGTTATGACATTTTTCTCACTCAGAATTTACATTTAGATTTTACAGGTATCTATACCATGGTGCTTAGAACATGTCTCCTCAATGAGATTCATGCTAAGAAAACGACACTTCATGTAATTTTTTTTGGCATGTTTGCAAAAGATAGGCATTTCCTAGAAAGTAGAGAAGACAAACCTGGAAGAGCCTCAAGAAGAAAGAAGTGATCTATATTGATGAGGACAGAAAGTAATCAATTATACTTGAGAATTATCAGTGAAGAATCATAACCTACCTGTCTTATGGCCTGCACTTAAAATTGCCTAGTTTTAGCAACTACACCTGTTTATAGGATGTTCTCTGGTGTTCACTGATATGCTGATATTTTGGAGATTTAACATCGCTTTCAATTAGAATGAGATTCATGGAAATAATTAAAATCGATAATTTACCAAAAGCTAACTGTGCCACCAATGCTTCTAAGTACTTTATTAAATAATATTTTAGAATGTCTCTTTAAGACAATTTTCTTCTATTACCATTTTGCTGATGAGAAAGATAAGACTATTTTGTTGAGTAACAATATGTACAAGACCACATAACCCATGAGGGGAGGAAAAACAGTAGAGTAGAGGAAAAGGTGTCTGGCTAGGGAACTCCTGCCTTTTATCTTTACTTCCTGCTGTTCTAACTCACCTTGTGAGTTTCTCAGCTAAAATATAACTGTTTTTATATAAGGAAGACTTAGTAATATTTTAATATGAGGATGGAATCATGCTTCCTATTATGAAGTTTGTAAATGGAATTTGTCAGTTTCAGTTTAAATTTGGAAATTGTGTTTATAAGTATATACATACATCTTTGAGGATAGGAAAACCCAAATTTTGCACCTTATCAAGTTTGAAAATATGTTTGATAGATCTAATAATCTTCTGATAATATGAAGCACTAATGATAATTAAATGTGACTAAGATATAAGAATGTATGAAAAGATTTGTCTAGTAATGGTTTCTGCTAGAATTCGCTTATGTTCTTCTGTTATCTCATCTATTAGTTTAAACTCTGCATTTGCATAATTCCTGGCATGTGGTATACACTGAGCAAATACTACCTTCCTACCTTCTAGAAGAAATCATGTTGGTGCAATAGGAATCAATGGTAAAGACAACACATATTTCTTAGATAACAAAATGCTATCCAGTTTAGGATATAACAGTGGAGCAGTTTGTAAAAATGTCTGTACTGAAGGAGGTTTAATTTGCAGTGTTATGAAAACAAATAAAAGAAAATTGAGTATACTGTATGAGAAAATATCCGACTTTTAAAGACACAATGAAATTGTTGAAAACTAGGGAACAGTTGTAAGGCTTCCAGTAATGATACAGGAGAGAGTATTTTAGCATTGTTTTCATTTTGCAAAATCATCTATCATAGAAAAATAGTTTGAATTATCTGTAGTGTTTTCAATTTTTCCAAAATATATTCAAACAAAATAACCTGAATTGTTTTCCTGTTTTGTTCCAGATTTATTTCTGATTATAGCACCCTTTTTTGAATTTAGGTGCTCTGTCTTTGGGAGAATGAATGGCATTATGTTTAATCTTCTCTTGCCTATCTGAAATGAACATGGAAAAGTTGTAAGATGATAAATTATTTTTCTCATGGAGCTCTTCTCATTTTCTTTCAGGCTGTTCTGAGCCCTTGGGGATGAAATCAGGACATATACAAGACTACCAGATCACTGCCTCCAGTATCTTCAGAACACTCAACATGGACATGTTCACCTGGGAACCAAGGAAAGCTCGGCTGGATAAGCAAGGGAAAGTGAATGCCTGGACCTCTGGCCACAATGACCAGTCACAATGGTTACAGGTAAAATTCTCCACTCTTTCACCACCTGCTGCTCCTTTGCCTTACATGATCCCCATAGGGTAGGTAAATGTCAAGAGTGTTTATTTTTACATGGTTTTAAATGTGCTTTTGTCTTTGGCTGTTTAAAATGATAAAGTAGTAATTCCTTCTGAAGCCATGTCTCTGGGCTACTTCCGTGTTGGTGATACTGTGACTTGATGGAGCCATTGGTACCAGATCACTATATTTCAGTCAACTGATTGATAATTGAGAGCATTTACATTTTACTTTCTTCTGTTCTAATGCTTTGTTTTATTACTGGCTTTGAAAATGTGACAGCAGGAATCCAAAAGACTGAAATCATGCCACTGATCTGCTGGTGGTCTCATAGTACCATGACTTATGACATATTAGCTCTTTAACTGTGGTTGCTAAGCAATGGAGCAATTTGGTTACAATGTCAGAGCTTGCTAATAGGAGGAAAGCATAGACTCTGCAAAGCCTAGTTATCATTTGCAAATGAAGTAAGGCTATATAGTCAATGCATTTTAAAACAATCTTCTTGTGCGATTATTTATGGGGTGCCTTTAAGTATACATAGATTTGTTAATGTCTTGTGTGACAAAAAATAATAGGTCAATTCCATAATGAAGTTCCTATGCTTGATTTTTATGCCATACCAATGAATTTAAAATCTGTAATAATTTATTGTATGTCTGGAAATGATGAAAACAATTAAAATAGAAAATGCTGCCATTCATCAAACCAGATTTGCCAAATCCAAACTATTTTTACCAGGTCATGTGAAATTTGCAATAGCCCTTATTCAATCTTTTTAATTTGGCCTTACATTTTATTATCCCACTATTAGAAATATTCACCTTTTTAATTATTTTCCCATAAAGTTCTGCCTGGATGTTTATTTGCTAGAATTTGTTGAGCTCCTTCATTAGCTACCAAAGATGTCTTTGGTGAAAGACAACCACTTACGTCTTTCAGCAAATATTACTGTCTTTGAAGGTAGGGTGTATGTATTTTGTATATTGTCCCAGCATGCAACCTAGGGTCTTTGTCTTGCATGTAGTAGTGCTTACTGTATTAAATCATTTATTTAACAAATGTGTATTTGTGATGGACCCACACAGAATCACATAATAATTAAGATGCATAAGCAAGCAACAGTACTGTTCATATTTATAAGACATTACCTGTTTCTCACAACTTATCTTTTATTTGGATTACATAACACAAAACTTTGCTTTTCTCCTAGTTGCTCTTTCCCACTGTTCTTTCTACCATAGTTATTCTCCTGGTAGTATATCTTTCATTAACTCCACAGGCTCACATTAAATGATTTAGTGAATATTGGTGACTCCAACTACTAAAAAAGAGGACTAAGAATTCTAAAATCATTTTGCTTCTCACCATTTCCATTACCACTTTGTGATCTAAGCTGTGCCCCTCTTTCACATAGCTTCCTGCAGAAGATCACCCAATCAGCTTTCCAGTTTCTGATCTTAATTCTTTAAGAATCTCTTTCTCAAGTTTTAACCTGATTGTGTGTGTGTGTATGTGTGTGTGTGTCTGTACTTCTAAAATGTAAATATTCTTTCTCCCTTGTTTAGAATTCTTCAGGTGTTTTATCTTAGCCTAAAATAAAATGTACATTCCTTAATGTAGTATAAAACCTATTGCATGATTTGGTCCCATTTCATCTCTTACCATACTCTTAAATTTACTTTAGTTTCTCAAAGCAAACACTATCTGTCTCTCCCATTCCAGTATGAACATCTTGTTTCTAGAGAAAAAGGATGTAAAGACCATGGCATTATCACCTTTCTGATGTTTAAATCTTTTAACTACACTATGGACATTGTCTTAAAAAGCTGGCTGCCAGCTGCATGTCTGATTTAGGTTCTCTCCTATATCATTACTCTCACTTTATCACTGAAGGATAAACTTCAAAATCTGTTAGTGAATGGCTAAAACCACAGATAGTACCAAATCCTATATGCCCTACTTTTTTTCTCCTATATGCCTTGTAGCATTGCCACTGTAACAAAGTTACTGTCTGTCCTTATTTTATACCTTGGTGCCTCTTTGGTACTGCTACTCTTGTGCTTTGGGCTCATTATTAAGTAAAATAAGGGTTACTTGAACACAAGCATTTTGCCAGTCAAACTGACAGTTGAGATGATTGCTAAGTGGTAAATAGCTGAAAAAGGATGATTTGCATCCTGAGCAGGACAGAGTAAAACAGCACATTTCTTCACACAACTCATAATAGAATGCCATTGAAAACTATGAAAAGTTTATTTCTGGAATTTTGCATTTAATATTTTCAAATCAGAGTTGAATATGGATAGCTGAACTTGTGGAAGGTGAAACCAAGCATAGTGAGTTACTGTGCTATACTGTTTTTTGAAATTCTCTCACTATAACTGTATTATTATGTGTTAGAAATTGTGCTTTCTTTCTAAACTGTTAGCTTCAAGAGGTCTAGGACAATGCTTATCTTTGTTGACATTCTCAATTTTTTCTCCAGTACATAACCAAATACCTGTAACAATACCTGACACATAGTAGGCACTCCCTTAAGACTTGTTGAGTGAAGAATTCTTTCGGAGAATAATTCAACTTATGTATTTGGGTCTATATTGCAAATAAGTTTGATCATCAGTGTAAGAGCCAATGTTACATGATCTCAATTGTTTTTTATTGCTAGGAATCAAACCTAGGGTCTCACACATGCCAGGCATGTATTCTACCACTAAGTTACAGCAACAATATATTCTTAAATTTTGAATAACATTTTTGAAAGAACTCTAAGACTTTGTATCATAAAGCAGACTTTTCTTTTAACATACTGGATCTATATCTTAATAATATATAGCCCTTCTAATTATTACTTTGAAGAAACCATAGAAAATATCCCTTCCTTTTGTGAGACTTGACAGTGATAAGTTAAACTTATTCTTCATTGCTACAAAATCTTTTAAAGTTGTAAATATTCAAGTCACATCTTAGATTAACTGGGTAGAGCCAATATTATTCATGAATTATAATGCCTTATAGAATAAAACACAATATTTTACACCCCAAAAGTAACCCAGACAGCCTGGTAGACTCTAGAAAAACCCACACAGAGGGATTTCCAACAGCAAATTTTTTAAAAAATAAAATAAAAAAATTTTTTGCATGAATCAAAACGTGATTTTTAGTGCAAACCTCCATCCATCACTTTGTCTAGGATGGCTTTTCAAATGACTTCTTAAAGTCGCTTGCATGCTCAAATCTCAAATCTATTCATTCTTTCAAATGACAGACTTTCTGTCAATAAAAGGACCAGTTCTTCCAGTAGATGTCTGATTTTTGTTTTGTCAAAACATATCCAGACTCTCCAAGGCAAAGTAAATTGACATATTTCCTTTTACTTATTTTTTTCCGACATCAGGCAAGAAAAAGCTCCAGAACTGCGACTATTTTTGGTATTTTCTCCTCCAGAGAATCTATTCAACTGAATATTGTTAGCATTGGTGCTTACTAGTATTTTTGTTGAAAATAAGTTTAACATTTCATAGATGGCAATGTATAGGGTAATTTTTGAGCTGTTGATATAGAAATCAATTTTTATCCTTAAATGAATATTCTGAATTTATAAATTGGCTTGCATTTTTAAATGAAATGCATGAATTCTGAGCAGTAGCTCTTCAAACAAGAAAGGATTTCTATCCCTTGCATTCCCTTCCTTCATTATTAATCTCTTTCTAAAATATTTTTAAGAATTTTTTTTTCATATGCCAAATATACTTTTGGTCTTCTAATAAAGAAGGTTTTATTCCAGTTTAATATGTTTCACCAAAATGTAATCAGGTCATAATTGGAAATACATACAGTTGCTATAAATAAAACCTACCCCCAAAACTCTTATACCTAATTGTGATATATTTGAAAGAATTTTTATGTATTTTTCATAGGAATTTCTATCTGTTCAAATATTATTTTAATGTTTTATCCTTTTTATTATGCTAATACTTCTTCCAGGCTCTTTTATAAAGGCAAAATGTCTGGAACTCTCAGTCAAGTGCTCCATGTTGTTTTGTAGAAGTGATCATGTACAGCTAATTATCTTCTTTGAATTAGTGTTAATGATGAAATTGTAGTGCTGTTTCTGTCAGAGAATGGCAAAAGTGTATTAGGTCCACAGGTAGCCCTATATGAGATATTGCTCAGACTTCCACTTTGATGTGTATAATGTTCTCCAGAACTTAAAATTTATCCTAAACTTTAAGCAAAAAGACCTAGCAATGTGTTTTCCAAAAGCCTTCCAAAGTCTGAGCTATATATAGTATAGTTACTGCATCTTAAAAATCTTTCCAAAACCTAATTGAAAGATACTAAGCCAATTACTTTTGATTTATGGTGAGACATTCTTGACACATTAAATAAGAAGATTTGATAAGAGAAATTGTACAGAGAAACACACATTAGGTACCAAGTGTTCATAAGTCTCGCTTTTATCTTCCAGTGCCTATGTACCAGCAGGAAAGCATCATTTGACAACAGTTGTAATCAAGAACAAAGATATGCATTTATATCCCTTACTTCCTAGAAAGTGTAATTTCAAATTAAACAATGAAAATGAAATGCAGTAAATTGTTAGATAAGTTGCAAATTGCAAGTGTGTGTGTGAATTGCATAGATTGAATTATCAAACAAAAATTTTGAAATGTTTGTGTTTGGATAATATATATTTCATCTTCTTTACCTGAAAATGGTAATAAAAAACAGTGATTTTAAATGAGCAGTGTGTTGTTTGCCAATCTTCCCTGCTAAAATCCTATTCTTAGTAAAATGGTAATGGATTTTATGTCCATTTCACTGACTTTCAACAGATTGAATAAATTCCCTCTTTATTTATGATCAGAGTAGACAAACTAATCAAAATTCAGCAAGAAACTAAAATATTTTATAACAGTCTATCTGAAATGGGACATTACTTATGATAATTTAAATTATTA